CGGCAGGACGCTCCGCTGGGCTCCTGTGTCACAAAGGAGTCTGCGACCTGATGAACAGGAGCCGGTTGGATGTGCCCACGCTCGCGGCCACTACCGAGCGCAGGCCTTGGCGTTTCCCGTTACCTTGTAGGTGCAGGGAGGACGGCACATCTTCGCTTTCGCCCCATAGCGTGCATGGTAATAGCACAGGCCAGGGCTGGAGTTGCTGACGTCGGCCCCGGAGCTTCTGCTAGGTGGCCAGCACCTCCGGGGCAAAACGCTGGGTTGCCAGGAAGAACCGGTCAGCTTCTTCGGCCAAAGCGCGGGGCTCAGTAATAGCCGTGTTAGCGAGCGCTGTCTGTACATGCGGCGGCATGTGCCGAAGAAACAGTTCTATGAACAAAAAATTAGGTTCTTCCGTACCCAGCAGGCTGAGCATCATCTCCATGTGGTCAGAAGGCTTGTTGTCCCCCAGGCTATGAATAGCGAGCAGGCGTCGGGCCCGTTCCGACCGTGACAGCTCGAAAGTCTTTAGCAGGAAAGCCTTGAACGCTGCATATTTATCCTGGGCAGGAGGAGATGTAATAAAGCCCACCGTCCGGGTCGCAGTAGAGCTCCCCAGCGCCGAAACGACGTGAAAATAGCGTGCTGCGTCGTCAGTCACTCCGCGGAGGGCGAACTGAGCCTCCGCCTGAGCGAACCATGCAGCTGCAGATGTCTCCCAAAACTCCGGCAGTTTGAAAAAAACGGCGTTACTTGCCATGCTCGGTTCAGTCTCGGATCCTTCAACAAGACTTATGTCGGGGTCACCAATGTACAGTAGTGCCGAGAGACGGGAGTCGGAGGCGGGGTATCAAAGTTACAAGCTCTACTTTTATTTAGCATCTGAACACACATGTAAACCACTTCATGCCTGGGAAGCGAAGACCGGCGGAAACAGGAAGTCCGGCTCACTCAAATGTCCGTGCGGAACAATACCCCAACCCATAGATCCGTGGGTGAATAATGTCAATCACCACAGCTGCAACAAAAACATTTCCCAACTTGGGATCAATAAAGTATGTCTTATCTTATCTTAAGATGATCGATGGCTACTGCCATGTTTGCAAAATGTGCCTCTGTACCTTGACAATTGCATGTTTCAGGCTTATCAATGAACAACAGGAGGGGTCACAGACATAAGACCAGCTGTTAAATAAAGCTCTTCTGACCTTAGATGTCATGTGGGTATATTAATCCACCCATTTATTAATTATATGTTTTAAATTTGATAACACCACTGTGTTTCGTATCCCCTAAACCTCCAGGGTGTACACAGTTTAATACTGGCAACTTCTAATTGTGGGAAATACGAAAACGTCTTATAAAGAGACGTGCCATAGAACATGTTGCGAAACACACAATAGCCGGGGGCTGGACCCGTCCAATTCCAGTTTTGGAAAGTCTGCCGTGGTTCCATTCCATTTCATAGAGCTGTTTGACGCTCAGCGTAACCTTGTCGCACTGCCACTCCAACATCCAATCACAAGGCTTGATGACTAATCACAGGGTTTGTAAAGCAAGGCGGATGTTGTAGGATAAACTGATATTTTTTAGGTGATGAGTAATTATGAAAACTTCGAGACCGGAAAAACTGTTTTCACCCACGCTAACTTTACATGGAAGCTGCATACACGTTCTCCTGGCGAGACCTGAAATCATCTTCGTAATATCTATCAAAATATAGATCCTATACATCGACTGGACGTGGATTCTAAGAGTACAAAATACACTTCTCGCTAGAAATCTAATCAAAAAGCATTTTAATGGCCAAACTATCCTACAATTTAGGATTTTACAGAGAGGGTTATTTGTGAATAAACAACCATCTGTAACGTTAGCATTCAACGGGAGCACTGAGGGCGAAAACTTTCAAATGTAATTATAGGACGTATTAAGCGCTTGAACAAACGACATATTTGGTCGTAATAAGGGCCTGAACAATCGGCCCATTTGGTCGTATGAGTTGGAGGACTTGTTGGATGGTCTCCTTAGTTATGGGCTAGGCCTACGTGAAAGGTGGCCGGCATGATAGGAAATGGTCCCAGTCTAAATTAAGAACAGTATCCTATTTTATTTGGCTGATAGCCATGCTCGTCACCATATCAGCTGCATCACACCGCCCCCTCCTGTTTAGTTTAAGTTCTTACAACACAGAGAACTATTACTCATCATTTCACAACGCAACAATTCATTCATAGTCTTTCTGAGCTGTCATAAGAGTTGCATGTAAGTTGCATCATATAATTCCCATGTTTCATTGTTCTGGGCCTGCACTAGAGAGACCTGGGTGACTATTTTCACCTATATGTTTTTTGGTCATCATCTCTGTTCGTTTTTGTAATAAGAAATGTTTGATTCAAATCATGCTGTGCCAAACCCAAAAGGAACTAAGAAGCAAATCTCCCACATACAAATCTCTTCCTACTTCTGTTTTAGGTGTATGGATTTTTGTTTTGTTGGTGATTTAAAAAACCATTATTGCATATAGTCTTTTTCTCGTTCTTTAGCAGGTCAGGTGGCAGAAGACCATCATTTTTTATATTTTTCTGCTCTTAGCACTTTCTTTTGAAGCCAGATCTTCAAAATGATCTATATGATTTGCATTCTCCATATATCGGCCTTCTGAACTTTTAGTATCACTGTGTCAATTATGAGAAAATGTTTTTACGTGATCGATTCATATAATTCACTACATGTCCCATAATAACAGCATGATAATATATTTCCTCTGATGAGCTGATAAATATGTTGAAATCATCTCAATACAGTTATGTTGTAAACTTCAGTCGTGCTTCATACACCGAAATGACAAAGATGTCTGTTTATGAACAGGTAAAGTTGTAATTCAAGAGCCATCTAATTGACATCTCTTCTATCGTATTTTGAATTAATTTTGATATCCGTAATTTTAAGATAATACATACTGTGTAGTGCTTTAGCAATCTGCTGACTAAACATTAGGCAAATACTTCCGTCAACTGTCCGGTGAAGTACGCCTTTTGCAAGGCAGGTTCCTTCCTATACTTTTTTAAAATCGGCGCAGAGAGACAGTAAATAAACAAAGATGGATAGAGAAATGTGTACATTTAAACATAAGAATAATTTGAAAATTATATGAAACAAACCCAAAATATATATATATCCAGTCTCTGATTGTGTTACGTTATTATGAGTGCTCTCATACTTTACATTGTATATATTTCTACAAATATATATGTGTGTGTGTGTGTGTCCGCATCTGTAGCCTGTTATTGTCTCATTATACCGCACTCTCAATGAATATATATATATATATATGAAATATGTGGGGGAACAATGTTCAGCTGATGTAACTGGGGCCCTTTCTCATTTCATCAAATCCCCCTCCTCGACTCCTCGACTCCTCGGTCCTCCGGTAGTGACCCGGAAATGAATTTTAGCGCGCCATGTTGAAGGACATCTAATTTCTCTCAATGCACTTCGAGGACCGAGGATCGAGCGTCGAGGAGGCTCTCTGGAGGAGCTATAACCGAGGATACACTGATGGGTCCTCCACGGTCCTCCACGGCTCCTTCGTGGATGCATTTCCGGGAACAGAGATTTTTCAAAGCGTCGTGACGCACGGCCGGACTTATCTCAGCCAATGACAGCTCTGCATGCATCCCCTGGATATTATTTTATTAACTGCTCTCATCGCAACGCAATGTTTACAGAGAGAACAGCTGTGAGGTCCGTGCAGAAAGCAGAGCAGTGTGTATAATATTGTAGCGACCCTGCATAGGATGTCCAGGGTGTCACTCAGGCATCCCCCGTCTCTCTGCCAATCATAGAGCTGCACAGTGATGCTGGTTGAGGTGCGGGCCTGTGGTTGGGGGAGCGGACGGGGGAGGGCGGGGAGTTGTGACATAAACACTGCTATATATATATGTGTAGGGGTAGGAGTTAGGTTAGTGTGAGGTTGAACCCACAAGTGTACATGTACCTGTGATCATCTGTTGTCAAACAAGAGTTATTAAAGCCTAATAACGAGAAGCCTGTTTCCGACTCACCTTGTGAACGCTACAATATATATCACTCAGTATAACAGGCCTACTCTCTTTATTTGCTGTAGTTTAGTAGATAACTACAAACAAAGAGTCGATATTTTTCTAAAACCATTTAGTGCTTCACATAATAAAATACACAACGGCTGTAGCCTGATAATATGCTTTAGGAGCTGTAGGTGTGTGTGGTACAGTGTGTTGGTGTGTGTGTGGTACAGTGCGTAGATGCAGCGGACAGACAGGTCTCAGTTGGTTTGGTGTCCTCTGCTTACTTTTAATACTTGTAAATAAAACTTTTGGCCCGTAATTTATTTCCCTCATTGTAGCGACCAGAGAGGGAGGGGGGGGGGGGGGATATATCCAGTCTCTGATAGTGTTATGTTATTATGAGAGTGCTCTGTTTGATTCTGAAATGGTATATATTTATATATGTGTGTGTGTGTGTGTGTGTGTGTGTATGTGTGTGTCCGTGTAATAGATTGTTTTTGTAACATTGACAGTATTTTAACTGTTACCTTTGACCTTTGTTAATGTAGTTTAATTGTAGGATGTTTGGAAAGGATGAGAAGGTATCCTGTCTGCGCTTGTTTGTATTTGTTTTGGAGACGTGTGATCTGTTAAACTGTGATCGACTAGGCCTTGATCTGGGAGACGGAGATCGATTGCTCTTGTCTCCGCCCACATATCTGGGGGGTTTCGCGGTACTTTCCTCACTCGAGTAAAGTACCGGAGAATTAAACCTAACTTTGACTCTTGTCAAAATTCTTCCCTTTTATCAGGTATGTAGATAGTACAAAACATAGCAAATTGGGCCAAACTATAACATAACATGTGTAAGGAGTGTTTTAAAGTGGTTGTGTGAAATATTGAGTGTTATTACGTTTTATCAGCTTGGGCTGATGTGTGTGATAGCCGAGAATGTGTGTAGTAACGTCTACGTAATGGTTACATGAACAAACACTGCGTAGCGCGCATTTGCCGCCATCTTGTGTATTGTGTATGCACACAGTTATATGTAATATGTTGTCAATTATATTATCTTATCAATGATATTGTTGTAATTAAGAAGTTTCATGATTGAAATACAGTGTTAATTGCCAAGTTGTATGTGCGATTGAAAGGTGTTGCATTTGTTGACTCACTCGAGTAAAGTACCGGAGAATTAAACCTAACTTTGACTCTTGTCAAAATTCTTCCCTTTTATCAGGGGCATAACATTTGGGGGCTCGTCCGGGGCGAATGTGACGAGGGCCAGCTGTTCCAGATAGATGTCCCCGATCATCATTCAACCCATCTTCACTACAACTAGGGTGGACGACGACGTGTGGTGGTTCAATAGCTACGGAGAGGGACTTGTATACAATCTGAGGTCAACTACGGGTGCCAGGAGAGTTACTCTGTCTCATCTGCAAAGTGAAGGTTCTACATTACATTGACAATGTCCACAGGAAAAGAGATTGAAATGGACTCCTCAGCGCTAGAAGATTTGAAGCTAGAAGTTGGTGGTAAATAGTACACACTGACAAGAGATGATTTGATTGAAGTGTGTGATTTCCTAATTATTGCCGGGTCAACTTTTGAGTATGTATCAGGTAAAAGCCGTTCGTCTCTCATCTCACATGTTAGAATGCACTTAGAGAGAGAAGAACTAAGTGAACTTGAGGATCAGGGTATGGCAGAGCTACTTGTTCTAAAAGATAAAATAGTTGAGTTACAACAGGCTGCTTTATTAAGAGAAGATAACAGAGGAAAAGAGCAGATTTCAGGTGACAAACAGACAGATGTGGTGTAAGAACATGTCATACAGCCGTCAGAAAGAGAACGTTTGCTTAAAGAGATAGAGAAACTGCAGTCAGCCTTAGCGTTTTCACTACAGGCAAAACCAGACCAGACCGGTGGGGCCCAAAGGTTAGTGAGTGGGGAAGGTAATACTATCAAACAAGACAATGTGACTGTCCAACAGACCCCCCAACCACGTGTCTCATTACAGTGGAGCAGATAATTCAAAAATATCAGGCCAGATTGGTGAGCCAGGTCAAAAAGACAAACTTACATTATCTAGTCTAGCACATCAAATTGAGCAAGGCATGAGCAAGGGATTTCCTGAAATAGAAATAGTGGATGCAGTGATAAGGGCAATAGCACCAGGCCTACAACTACGCAGCTATTTGGAGGGAAAAATCAACCTGACTTTAACTACCTTGAGGAGGATACTCAGGTCCCATTACCAAGAAAAAGGTGCAACAGAACTGTACAAACAACTGACCTCAGAGGTCCAAAGTAACAAGGAGACTCCACAAAACTTCCTGATCCGTGCTCTGGATTTAAGACAGAAAATTCTGTTTGCTTCACAGGAGGCAGAATCCGGTCTAAGATATGATCCTGTCCTCGTACAGAGTATGTTTCTCCACACTGTTCTCACAGGCCTGCAAAATGACAACATTAGAAGTGATCTTCAGCCATATTTGCAACAGACAACATCAAGTGATGAGCTGCTCCTCGAAAAAGTTAACATTGCTTGTGCCAACGAAGCAGAGAGACAAAATAAAAATAAACTACTTACCCAGCAGCGGCCAACCGCAGTGCACTCAGCTCAATCCAGCGAGACAACTGCAGAGAAAAAGGAAAAAAATACTAATCAAGACCAAAACAGCAGATTTCAGCCTGATGTTCTGAGTGAACTGAAAGAAATGCGGTCTGATATGGCATTACTGAAAAACATAGGCGTAGAAGTTGCACAAATCAGAGAGTCAATGCGACAGCCTAACCAAGCACAGCCACAGTATTTCACCTCACCTATACCACAAGAATGCATCCCCCCTCCTCAGTTCCAGTATCCACAGCAAAACCGCTGGCCACCCCCAGGACCAGGGCAGAGAGGAGAGACAGCTCAATACCAAAGAGGGTTCGCACCACAACACAACTTCTCCGGGCCAAGTCGTGCACGCTTAAGAAAATGTTTTGGCTGCAAGCAAAATGGAAGTGAGTATTGCACCCATTGCTACAGGTGTGGTAGTAGTGAACATTTTCTCGCAGGTTGCAGGCTGAGAGGAAACGGACCAGACAGAGAGGTCCCTTTAAACGAAACAGGGTTACCCCCACGGGACAGGGAGTAACCAACAACAGTGTAATGTCCCAACAGCATTGCTCATACTGTGGTGTCCCTGAAAACGAACAGAAATTCAGAAAATGTGCATCGTGTAAAGAAGACAATTACTGCTCTAAAACCTGTCAAACTGAACATTGGCCAAAACATTACAAAAAATGCAAGCAGCCCCCTCACGTGCATGTTAATCAGTGCTCTCAAGCAAGTGCAAGCACAGCCCACACCAGAAAAGAGGACAGCCATTCTCGTCTTGTGGCGTTGGTAGGAAAAAGGTGTATAGTTGAGTGCTACATCAAGACCGTAAAATTAAAGCATTGTGGGATACAGGCTCCCAAGTCTGCATTGTTGATGAAAAATGGAAAAAGAGACATTTGCCACATGAGAAGCTAAGTGATGTTTCAGAGTTACTGGATGCACCGGATAATTTGAATATCACTGCTGCTAACGGAGAGAGCATGCCTTACAAGGGCTACATTGAGGTAACTTTTGGATTAGCTGCAGAAGGAGCTGATCCCAAAGAACTTATTGTCCCAATGCTAGTGATGAAAGGCAGATATCTCTCACAGCCTATTCTAGGCTACAATGTCATTGAGCGAATAGTGAAAACCAGCACTTCAGAACAAATGGATGTTAGAAGAAGAGAGCAGTTGCATGAGACTTTAACAACAGCTATTCCCAGTCTTGAGAAAAAGAATGTCACAGCCTTCATTGACCTAGTGACTACAGAACAGTCATGTGACTATATGGTAAAAATCACAAAAGGGAAAGTCATGGTTCCTAAACACTCTTCTGTTCAAATTGACTGTAAAGTACAGACACAGCCACTGAAGAAAGACACTACCCTCATTTTCGAGCCTGACATAAATCCTCAGTGGGCTGAAGGCCTTGAGTTTTGTGATACATTGGTGATGCTTAAAAGTGGTGCTTCACCTTACATTATTCTCGATGTGCAAAACCCCACTGATCACGATATTGAGTTGGCAGGAAGAACTGTTGTGGGCAGAGTGCAGCAAGTCCAGGCTGTGTATCCAACTACAGTGTTAGAGAAACCAAATCAGCATCCTCCAGTGTCAGTCAATCAAGTGAATGCAAAGAGTGAACATGATGCTGACATTCCATGGAATCCACCAATTAACCTGAGTCATCTAAGTGAAACCGAGAAAGTAATGGTGCAAGATATGCTTCGTGAGGAATGTTCATCTTTTTCGAAGTCAGATGATGATATTGGATGTATTGAGAAGCTGAAGTTGAGCATATCACTTACAGACACAGATCCTGTAGCACGAACGTACGTGTCTGTGCCAAAGCCACTATATAAGGAGATGAAAGACTATCTACATAACCTTATTGCACAAGGATGGGTAAAGAAATCCAGCTCACCATATGCCTCACCTGTTGTCTGTGTAAGAAAAAAAGATGGCAGCTTACGTCTTTGCATAGATTACAGAGAGTTAAACAAAAAGACACACCCTGACAGACAACCGATACCCCGAGTGCAGGACATCCTTGACAGTCTTGGCGGTCATACTTGGTTTTCATTGTTAGACCAAGGGAAGGCCTACCATCAGGGTTTTATAGATGAAGACAGCAGACCTTTAACTGCATTTGTGACGCCGTGGGGCCTATATGAATGGATAAGAATCCCATTTGGGCTGATGAATGCACCAACAGCCTTCCAACGGTGCATGGAAGAGTGTTTAGAAGAAGTGCGAGACAACATCTGCATCCCCTATTTGGATGACACACTTGTGTACAGTCAATCGTTTGAGGACCATGTGAACCATGTCAGAAAAGTGCTACAGCTGTTGAGAAGATATGGAATCAAATTGAAGCCCAGCAAGTGTGAACTTTTCAAGCGTGAGGTTCGATATCTGGGAAGAGTTGTTTCTGCCGAAGGTAGCAAAATCGATCCAGCTGACACCATCGCTGTGAGAGCATTGAAAGATAAGAGACCGAAAAATGTGGGAGAGCTTCGAGCCATCATGGGCTTGCTAAGCTACTACAGACAATACATACAGAACTTTTCCCGAATTGCTGGACCACTTTATGACTTGTTGAAAAGTACAGCAGAAGACAACAATGTAACAGAAAGCAGGAGAAAAACAAGACGAGTCACAGAAAATAAGAAAGGAGTGCCGTCACACAAACCAATTGTGTGGACCGAAGAACATCAATGCATCCTGGCACGGCTAATAGACTGTCTGGTTGAGCCCCCAGTCCTCGGGTTCCCTGACTTCTCACTGCCATTTGTCCTCCATACAGATGCGTCAAACCAAGGCCTTGGCGCAGTCCTATACCAACAACAGGATGGTAAACTCCGTGTGATCGCCTACGGTTCCCGGACACTGACAGCCTCTGAACGAAATTACCATCTCCACTCAGGAAAATTGGAATTTCTCGCATTAAAGTGGGCAGTAACAGAAAAATTCAGAGACTATTTGTACTATGCACCTACATTTACTGTATACAGTGATAATAATCCACTTACCTATGTCCTGTCGAGTGCCAAGCTTAATGCAACTGGATATAGATGGGTAGCAGAGCTTGCCGACTTTCACTTTACCATTCGATACCGTCCAGGGAAAGAGAATGTGGATGCTGACAGTCTATCAAGGATGCCTGTAAATGTTGAAGAGATGTTGAACAAATGTACTGAAGAGCTCCCATCAGACTGTGTGGCAGCTACAGCTCAAGCAGTCGAGACTCAAGACTCAAGCTCATCGTTGGTCTGCCCAGTACTTACCACTCTCCAATGTTCATCAGTGAGTGAAGCAATGTATAAATCATTTTCAGTTCCTGAAATAAGAAAAGCACAGGAAGACGACAACAACATTGGTCCAGTGATGCAGTGTAAACTGAGGGACAACAAGCCAGATAGACATGCATTTCATGCATTGAGTAAACAAAGCAAGTGCCTTCTCCGCAAATGGGAAAGACTCCATATCGATGACGATGGCATTCTTCGCAGGAAGACAGTTAACAGAACACAGCTTGTATTACCTGAGAGGCATACAATCACTGTACTGAAAGAGTTGCATGATGAGATGGGCCATCAAGGCATTGATCGTACAACATCACTGATTAGAGACAGATTCTTTTGGCCATACATGCAAAAAGAAATTGAACACTATGTAGCGAGGACTTGTACTTGCCTTAAGCAAAAAACACCATGCAAAGAATCACGTGCACCTCTCACAAGCATTGTCACTACTCAACCCTTTGAACTGGTGTCAATAGACTTTCTTCATTTGGACAAATGCAGCGGCAGCTATGAGTACATTCTGGTAATCGTTGACCATTTCACTCGTTTCGCCCAGGCTTACGCCACCACTTCCAAGTCTGGCAAAACTGTTGCTGATCGCATATTTAATGATTATGCTCTCAAGTTTGGTCTACCAACACGTATACATCACGACCAAGGCGGCGAATTTGAGAACCAGCTTTTTGCCCAGCTGAAAAAGAACTGTGGTGTACTTGGGTCGCGAACAACACCATATCATCCTCAAGGAAATGGGCAAGTTGAGCGTTTCAATCGAACACTGCTACAGATGTTAAAGACACTTACTGATAAACAGAAGACAAACTGGAAGGAATCGTTAAACAAGCTGATCTATGCATACAACTGCACACGTTGTGAGGTAACCGGCTTCTCCCCTTTTTACCTTCTGTTTGGAAGATCCCCAAGGTTACCCATTGACCTACTGTTTGGTCTAACATCTGAAACCGGAACAACAGACCATCAAACATACCTGGAGAAATGGAAAAGGGAGATGCAAGACGCGTACGAAATAGTGCAGGAGAATGCAAAGAAGTCAAGAGAAAGCAGTAAAAGACATTATGATGGAAAAGTGAGAAGCTCCATGCTGTACCCCGGTGATCGTGTCCTTGTTCGAAACCTGACACCGAGAGGAGGCACTGGAAAGCTTCGTAACTATTGGGAAGAGAACATCCACTATGTAATCCGCCAGGTCGGAGAAGACATTCCAGTTTATGAAATCAGACCTGAGCAGGGAAGAGGAAGATCGAGAATAATGCATCGCAATCTGTTGCTACCTTGTGATCACTTACCTCTGGAAATTCAGCCAAAGACAGTGTCCAAGCAAAAGAATGAAAGAAGGATGACAGAGACAGCTGCTGAAGACACAGCTCGGGAACAGGAAGATGACGAAGAGGAGTTTGAGTACTACTACAAGCCAGTAGAACATTCTCAAAGGCCCTTTATTGATGTAACCATGGAGCAGTCTAACACACAAGATGGTGCTGAACAGAACACACCAGTGTTGAGTACAGATGAGCCGGTGGTTAAAGAGATGCCTATAACAAATGCACAAGAAGATGTGCTGCCAGAGGAAAATTGTGAGTGTGGAGATGTTCAACCTGTTGAGGAAGCACAGAATGAGAACCCAACATCCCCATACTCAGATTCAGGTGGAGATGAAAGGGAGCAAAGAGATGATCTACCAAGGAGGGAAAGGCGAGCCCCTAGATTCTTCACTTATGATCAACTTGGGACTCCAACGTGCTATAGCGCAGCACATGCTAATGGAATGCTTTGCCAGTATCAACCAAGTTTATTTAGGGAAGGTCAACTAGTGACAATGTAGACAAATCCATTTCAAGTTGCCCAACCATTATATGTGCAGGGATACTAGGCATAAAACAGACATGGACAATGTATTATAGAGAATGGTAGGACTGAGACCGTTTGACACAAATAGAAACAGTAGTTCAGTAGATTTATTGTGTTCATGCCAAAATTAATCACTTTATTGACACACCTCAAGACCAAATGGAACATTTCAGGTTTAAAACCTTTAGTTTATAGATTTTGAGATGTCGGGACGACATCAAATGTAGCAGGGGAGTGTGTAATAGATTGTTTTTGAAACATTGACAGTATTTTAACTGTTACCTTTGACCTTTGTTAATGTAGTTTAATTGTAGGATGTTTGGAAAGGATGAGAAGGTATTCTGTCTGCGCTTGTTTGTATTTGTTTTGGAGACGTGTGATCTGTTAAACTGTGATCGACTAGATGGCCTTGATCTGGGAGACGGAGATCGATTGCTCTTGTCTCCGCCCACATATCTGGGGGGTTTCGCGGTACTTTCCTCACTCGAGTAAAGTACCGGAGAATTAAACCTAACTTTGACTCTTGTCAAAATTCTTCCCTTTTATCAGGTATGTAGATAGTACAAAAACATAGCAAATTGGGCCAAACTATAACATAACATGTGT